AAGGATAGAGTGTTTCAGTAATGTATAATAATAAGATTAAACATTCAATTTTAAGTTAAAGGCATTGTATTATTGAATTCAGAGATGCTATTGTCTAGCTGTTTAGTTTAAAGTCCCCATGAACCGGAAGTTGCAAACGACTTTTCTCCAGTGTTGTGACGTATTTCCGAGAGAAACGGAATACTAAATGAGGCAAAATGGTAGGCGTGGCTTTTTCCCAACTAGCACCTGATTGGATCTAGAAAAGTAGGTGTTTTCATTCAGCCTGTCTACTGTCAGTTGGAGGGGCGTGATTACGGATGTTAAGAAGACGCCCAAACCGTGAAACCTACGTCATCAGGCAAGGTCCTCCAACGCAGAGGGGAGGGGAAATTTCAGATTTTGATTAAAGATTACGAAGCCAAAAAAAATTTTTGTGTGGATTGACTTGCATGGATGAATTGTTCACCACAAAACGATCAATTTAGGCAAACAAAGTATGGTCAATTTTGAATTCATGGGGACTTTTTAATTAGTATCTGTGTAATCAAATTGATGATAATCGCTAATGAAGGCAAATTGCAGAATTAAATAATAATTTTTGAATAAAGTTAAATAGGCACAAGTTAATTTACATTTGACCACAGTTACAATATTTACTTGTCTAAGATTCCTCGGTCAGATTATGTTAACTTTAAGAATTACGGTGAAAAAACGAGACAACACAGACTCATATCAACAAAAATACTAGGCCATCTAGGTTAATGTTTCAGAAAAGTTAAAATGAGAAGAGTTACAGTGTTTCCTTTAGAATTTTTTTAGCAGGGGGGGGGGCAGGTCTGTGACCGTCTGTCCAAACAACAATCACCCCTGATGCTGAGCATATGCTTGCTAACCCTGGAGCCTGTTCCTTAAGTCTGTTTTCACCTATACAATAATTGTAAAAAATGAGTGATGTGAGGGATTATTGATAGTCAAACAATCTTTTGGGTGCCCGCAGCCCGCTATTCTCCGACATGCCCGCTCGCGGTGTGTAGCGCGTGTCCACGCTATTCTCCGACATGCCCGCTCGCGGTGATCTTTATCAATCAACCAAAGCCGGTCGCGGGGGCGCCGCACTCGCCATCTTTCCATTCACTTCACTTTTGCTATTTAACCAGAGCGAATGAGACGAGTGCGTCACGTGTGGTGTTTGTCAACGCACCTTTGGAGAGAAGAGAAAGTGACCGCTCTTTAGATTGGAAATTAGTATTGGTACCCACCGTTCATATAGGGACGTCCCGCGTGACGTCACGCAATTTGGAGCAGCCATTTTGACGGAATAGAAATTGCTAGACCGCCGGTGAAAATACAGCTCGTCGCCAAATATTCCTATCATGCCCGAGCGATGCTGTGCAGCTGGATGCGATCAGATACGTGGTCATACAAAAGGAATACCTTTATACCGTATCCCAAAAGAAACAAAACGGAGAAACAAGTGGTTGGAGGCAATAAACAGTCAAAACGCATACCGGTACATGCATTCCTAGATCAGTTAATTCGTTAGGCGTATAATTATCACATTCAATTCTTTCGGTTTCAAATACCAAAAGCTGATCTTGTATTTTATTTGACACTTCTTATAAATCGTTAGAAACACAGGTTGAGACAATAGTCTCAATGACAGTTTATCATAGGCCTACTACAGTGACTGTCACTGTAGTATGATAAACTGTCATTGAGAGTGTTTGGTAGCCTATAAAAAAAGTGTATAAGCTATTATTTCGTTTTTCTTGGATCAAACTAGATTAAACAAATTCATTAAAGATACACTTAAACAAATTCATTTAAGATACACTTAATCTTGTTGGTGATTTTGTTTTGTGTTTTCCCCTGTAAACTCAGTTTAAAATGTATTACAGGTACTATAATTTGGTGATAAAAATAAATTGACCAACCTGTGCGGTGATGATTGAAAAATCCTTTTCTTTTAATTAAGCTCCGGTGTAGCGTGATGGTAAATGAATAAGGTAGCTGTGTAATGCTACAGAACTCAATGTCAGAAAGTTTTTCTACACATTTAATGCCTGTAAAAAGAACTTGTGGTGCTTCATATGGATATATGATTCCTAATTCCTTTATCTTCCTCTTGTATATTTATTTTTGTGATGCTAATAATAAGTGCGATGACATGACGTGGTGGGGGAAAAATCGATTCTGTTCAGTATCGAGATATTTTGCACCATGATTTTGCGCATGCAATTATATCAATATAGCGCAAAGTATTGCAATATAGGCTAATTATACTAATAATTATATTATTAGTATAAATTAATAATATACCAATAATTATATTATTAGTATAATATACTAATAATATATTTTACCCACGGCATTGCCACTGAGTAGCTGACGGATGTATTCCGTCAAAATGGCTGATATGCGGCTAGGGGTCACGTGACTGGGAGATCCCTATATTTCAGTATCGATATTTATCGAAATATCGATATTTTTGACAACACTCGTTTCCTCGAGAAACTAAATCCAACAAAAGTTATTTTTACATTTCTAATATCGAAACAAAACAGCATATCTCAATAGCCCCTTTCACACAGCGCTTTGAACCCGGCAAATTGCCGGCAAATTGCCAGAGTGCCTTCTGTGTGAACGCAAACACGACCCGGGACTGATGCCGGGATCGATGCCGGGTTGGGGACCTAGTAACATTGCCGTGTTCAGACCCGGAACGCGCGCTGTGTGAACAAAAGCCGTAACCAATGCCGTGTCGTAATGATGACGCTGAAGTGAAGTGAAAGCAGGCTAGTGAAACGGTACGTAATGCGTTAGTTTATGATCGAATCAGAGAAAAAAATGCACAATCGTGGTTTCTCCAGAGAGAAATCGCAGCTCATAAGCAAACTATACACGTTGCTGAGACATTACATGTCACATCGATGTCACGTGTCTTTCCGGAACATACACGGGTTGTGTGTGAACGCACTCTCTGATTCCGGCAAATCACTGGCAGTGTGAATGAAGCAAAATCAAACGAACCCGGGTCAAATCCCGGGTCGCTTTATCCGTATATTTTCAGGAATCTCTGTGTGAAAGGGGCTAATGGTAACTGTTAAACTGGAAGAGTAGATAAGAAAAATACCCCGAGTCATAACAAAGAACACGTTACAATATGATTACAGCTTTGGGTTTTTTTTCCTACTGTATAAGGTTACCCTTTGACTTCTTGCATAAAATCACAGAAGTTAACTCGAGGGTTAACTATCAAAAACACCAGCCACACTACTCACTGGGGATGAACAGGCGCTATATTCACCAGTTTAATCATTTTTGATTTGCTACCAGCTAGTGTTGTCAAAAATATCGATATTTCGATAAATATCGATACTGAAATATCTGAACGGTACCAATACTAATTTCCCGAAGTATCGATACTAGCCGAGCAGTCACTTTCACTTCTCTCAAAAGGCGCGTTGACAAACACCACACGTGACGCACTCGACTCGTCTCATTCGCTCTGGTTAAATAGCAAAAGTGAAGTGAATGGAAAGATGGCGAGGGCCGCGCCCCCGCGACCGGCTTTGGTTGATTGATAAAGAACACCGCGAGCGGGCATGTCGGAGAATAGCGCGGACACGCGTAAAAAACACACCGCGAGCGGGCATGTCGGAGTCGGAGAATAGCGTGGACACGAGCTACACACCGCGAGCGGGCATGTAGGAGAATAGCGCGGACACGAGCTACACACCGCGAGCGGGCATGTCGGAGAATAGCGTGGACACGAGCTACACACCGCGAGCGGGCATGTAGGAGAATAGCGCGGACACGAGCTACACACCGCGAGCGGGCATGTCGGAGAATAGCGCGGACACGCGAGCGGGCTGCGGGCACCCAACAGATTGTTTGACTATCAATAACCCCTCACATCACTCATTTTTTTTAATTGTTGTATAGGTGAAAACAGACTTAAGGAGCAGGCTCCAGGGGTAGGCTACTATTTAGCATTATATGCTCAGCATCAGGGGTGTTTGTTGTTTGGACAGACCTGCCCCCACTGCTACAAAAATCCTCAAGGAAACACTGTAACTCTTCTCATTTGAACTTTTCTGAAACATTAACCAAGATGGCCTAGTATTGTTGTTGATAAGAGTCTGTGTTGTCTCGTTTTAATTCTTAAAGTTAACATAATCTGACTGGAATCTTAGACAAGTAAATATTGTAACTGTGGTCAAATGTAAATTAACTGGTGCCTATTTAACTTTATTCAAAAATTATTATTTAATTCTGCAATTTTCCTTCATTAGCGATTATCATCAATTTGATTACACAGATATTAATTAAACTAAACAGCTAGACAATGGCATCTCTGAATTCAATAATGACATGCCTTTAACTGAAAATTGAATGTTTAATCTTATCATTACTGACTCTCTATCCTCCAATTTGATACTGTTAAGTACTTTTTTGTTACAGTATATTTTAATCTTTGATAACAGTAGGTAATAAAAATACATCATGTTAGCTCTGGTCCAATTAAAAAATATAAACAAATAGAACTCAGGACATTTTTGTTCATGTAAAATATACCTCATTGTCATGTTCTAGACTATATATATTTAGCTTTAAATTAAAAAAATACCCCCTTAATATTGTGGCAGTTTTTTCTCCGTGGTATCGAAAATGGTATCGAATATCGATATTTTTCAAGGTATCGTATCGAAGTTAGAAATTCTAGTATCGTGACAACACTACTACCAGCTCATGAAAGCTGTCAGACACAGACTATGATTCCAGCTATTGTATCATACATGCAGATCTACATGGGAGAACTATTGCAGCGTTCAGATTGTGTATTTTGTTGAGAATGCCACCTGTAGCTTCAGGTAGCCTGTAAGATGATATAACAGAACATAATTCAACCAAAATATGTTTGGACAAACATCCAAATAACTAAAATCATAGAAAATGCACCAACATGTGCATGCATAAAATGTACGGCAAAATATGGAGACGTGTGCTTGGCTTACCGTATAAAAGCCAATCCTACACAGGGCAATTGAGAGCTGAATGTGTTCTGACATCGTCCCCAGCAACAGCGTTACCCCAGACAACAAACAAGCCAAGCCAGAGTAACTGAACGAGGCCAGGTGGAGGACGGCTTTGAAGAGGGAACACAGAAAGATACTATACGAAGACAGAGATTCAATAGTCCTTCTTCAAATAAAAGGATGGAGAAAAGAGGAATCAGTTCTGTTCATTCCCCATTCATAAATAAACAAACTAGAGGTGGGTGAATACTCAGGGAGTGTGAGAGAGAGAGAGAGAGAGAGAGAGAGAGAGAGAGAGAGAGAGAGAGAGAGAGAGAGAGAGAGAGGAGATTAGTAGAGCGCATGCAGTCTCAAGAGATTATCAGCTCAGTGACTCGTACTGCAAAATAAAACTGCTAATTGGATTAGTTACTTTTACACACCTACACACAATGAATTATAGAGAAAAATAATTATTAAAAAATGGTCAAAATGAAGTTTGATTTAAATAATCACATCTCCAACCTTGAAGAAAGCAGACAAACAGGAAAATTATGACATTGTATGTTTTGATGAGTTATGTAATAATGTAAAGATCATGTGTTAATCATCATTATTATCGTCGTTATGATCATTGTGTACTCAGTGAGAGAAAAACTCAGGATTGTGGGAAGCTGATAATATTATCAAAGCATGCCACTGGTGTGCCCAAGTAATATACTTATATTATGGTCTCAAATGGTCATCAGGTAAACAAATTCGAAATCGAACCGAATTTGTATCCACCGTTGTTGATTGAAAATAAGCTAATGCATATTCTAAAAATATAAATTCAAATAATGTATCTAGAACTCTTCATAGAAAAGATAAAATACCTATAAACCATTTATCATTTTGACTCATCCCTTTTCTTAAAAATGGGTTAAAGGCTGAAATGTGAGGTTTATTATTTTATTTATTTATTTGAACATGAAGTACATGTTAGTACCGTTTGTTTTTGTTTTTTATTATGACTTTTATTCAGCAAGGACAAAGATCAAAAGAGGCAGTAAAGACATTTACAGTCACTGTTACAAGACATTTTTATTTCAAATAAATGGTGTTCTTTTGAACTCTCTATTTAAAGAACCCTGATTTTTTTATTTTATTTTTTTATGGTTAGGCAGCACAACTTTTCAACATTAAAACTAAAAACGATTTTTTTAAAACGCCAAATTCAGTATTAGATAGATTTCTGAATGATCATGTGACACTGAAGACTGGAGTAATGATACTGAAAATTCAGCTTTGCCAAATTGACATCACAGTAATAAATTACTTTGAAAAAAAAATCTAATAAAATTCAAATAAATAAATAAGAAACCACTTATTTTAAGCTGTAGTGGTATTTAACATTATTTGTGTATTTTTGTTATAAAAACAAAAAGGAGCATAAGAGACTTCTTCAAAAAAACATCTTAACAACAACCCCAAACTTTTGAACAGCAGTGTACAACCAAGCAAGCATACAAATCCTAAACACCAAAGACATTATGTTATGGACATGTTATGGAATATTTTGTTTATTTGAATATATTGTGTTTGGTTATGTTCTAGTGAGATGTGTCCTCTCTATATCATTTATTATCTGAAAAATGTCTTCTCTCTTGTGACTATTCCACATTAAGTAACCAGGTGACGGTCACGTCATAACTAATTAATTGTTGTTTAAAAGGACTCTGAGTGTGTTTGATACCCACACCCTGATGAAGGCTCATTAGCCATTATTTGTGAACTTATTTTAATAGCCTAAGCCATGACTAAATAAAGGCTTTTTATATATTTACTAAAATTTTCAAGTGCCTTGGCTTGATACGTTTTTATGACCAAAGACATTAGTTTCGTAATCCAGGCCTATTACTGCCGTGCCCAGAATCTCTCTCTCTCTCTGTCTATATATAATATACATATATATATATATATATATATGTGTGTGTGTGTGTAGTGTGTACTCCTAATAAATATCCACAAGGTGGCAGTATTGGTTCATTATTCACATCTGTCCGTAAACTGTCATACCTCAGAAGAAAAACTAAGGTATATGCAACCCAAATGAATGTCAAGGCATAATATTTTTATGTGGCAAATAAATCTGAATATATTTATTTAAAAGGAGTTTTGTGTTTGCTACTACTTAGTGTAGCATTTATGTATCCTTTAGAATATATTTTAAAATGTATTTTATTCCTGTGATGGAAAAGCATTATTACTCAGTGACAGTCTCAGTGTCACATGATCCTTCAGAAATTATTCTATTTTGCTGATTTGGTGCTCAAGTGTTCTTATTATTATCAATGTTGAAAACAGATTACATAGAAAGTTCAAAACAGCTTACAGTATTTGAAACAAATCTTTTGTAACATTGGAAGTCTTTATTGTCACTGTATACGGTCACAAAAATGTCCCCAAACTTTTCAACAGTAGTGTGTTTAACAACACATTATGTCATGCTTGTTGAGTACAAGCTTCCTACATACTAAAGTGAACATATCAGTTCTCTTTGCCTATTCTAAAATGGTCCGCCCCATCCCATGCCCAGAAACCTAAGCAGAGGACTGTCTTTTTTTAGCTTTGGTTGGTTGGTTCTAACGGCATCGCGCTACGTCACATTCACTAGACAAAAAGCCAAGGTAACCTCTGCACCCAGTGTCATGGCAAGAGAGGGGATCACTATTTCCCACTGGATATCAAGCCCTGTGCGCTACCAGGAGCACTTCAAAACAAGGAATCTCAATGAATGCACTGAAGATCATCGACTATTTGCCCTGCCGGGACCTGAATGTCTGCCGGTTAAAATGGACACTGAGGGGAGTCAAGCAGACAGTGGGGACGAGGAATCAGGAGAGCCAGTGTTTCAAATCCTGCTGGATGTGACTCAATTTAAACCAGAAGACCTCCTCATACAAGTCTTTGAGGGATGGCTGTTAATCAGAGGTCGGCACGGGGTGAGGATGGACGAGCATGGGTTTGTGTCGAGGAGTTTCACTAGACAGTATCAGCTGCCTGACCGTCAGCTCCAGGCGGGGGACCTCAAAGCCATGCTGTGTCATGATGGAATACTAGTTGTGGAGACCAAGGACCGATGGTGGCCAGCGTATGATAAGGAAAATGAAATGACTTATCATTCATCATGACATGATCAAACATGGGCTGTGTTAGTAGTTGTTTTTGTTGTTTTATATCAGTTACATCGATTGCTGTTATATGACAGTATTGCTTTGTTCTGCGTGTCTGCAGACATTTAGCAACCTTCAGCTTGATTGCCTGCCTAAAGCTTAGTTGCTTACCAGCAAAAATGTATTTTCTAATAAATAAAACAAGCCTCTCATATAAATTTCTCAAAAAAAATCTTGTAACCTAGAGTAATTAAAATTGGCATCAACTACAATAACAGTCCCCTTACAGGAATGTGATTAAGCTTAACTGACTCAATATGCCACATGGCAACACGCTTGTCAGCATTCCACTATCATAATGCTGTCTATTTTTAAAACATTTGGTCAAAACCTGTTAAAGAGATACTCCACCCAAAAAATTGGAACTTTGGCACCATTGACTTCCATAGTATTTTTTTTTTCTACTATGGAAGTCAATGGTGCCAAACAACTGTTTGGTTCCAATCGTGCTTCAAAATATCTTCCTTTGTGTTCAGCAGAAGAAAGAAACTCATACAGGTTTGCAACAACTTCAGGGTGAGCAAATGATGACAGAATTTTCATTTTTGGGTGGAGTAACTTATCCCTTTAAGCACACAAATAGTCATAGGAGGGTATCACATCATAATACTATAAAAACCGTATAAACTCTTTAATTACAGTAGCAGTAAATGTAATGCGTCTTGTCTGTGTCATATTGTATTTTAATCGTAGCACCGGTATAAATGAATGTAACGTTAGATGGAGAAAGCATCTTAAAGGTTGCTTAAAAGAGGTTGTATATCTACATATCAATGTCAGAATTGTGAACTAATCTTTCTTTTGAATCGGATCTTTCAATGAATCGGTTGAACCTGTTCCCAACACACAAACCGGTCTCTGACTGAATCATCGAAGTCGTGAGGCTCTTTCGGCTTAGCCTGGTAATACCAGACTCTGCTACTTCACTTTGCTTCGTACACAGAGTCTGGGATAGCATAATAGAGAAGTGTTTTCTCTCTCGCTAGGGGGCGCGTACTGAAGTTTAAAATCATTGCTTACCCGTAAGCCAATCAGATAAGTTTGTTTATGACGTATGTTATGCGCCGACACAGCCATCGAACCACAGACATCATGCATCGAACTCAAATCTATGATCGAACTTCCACTGTAAACACTTGATGATGCGAGCGAAATACCCGAGTGAACATGGCTGTAAACGACTTTTTTGATCTGTGAGTGATGTAATAGAATGACTGCTGCGCTTGACAGGGCACAAACGAGCAGAGAGAGAGAGAGAGAAAGAGCTCCGGCCGCGCGCGCGCACTCCCACGTCTACAAACAACACGAGCGCTGTCTTGCTCTCTCTCCCTCGCGCATATTCATAAAAATCAATCGACAAGATAGTAAGAGGTCGGAAGACCGCGGTTTCACGTGGAGCATTTGGAGATTTTTAGAGATTATAGACTCTAGGAACAACATCTCAATGAACAACATCTCAACTATAAAGGCCTGTCTCATATAAGTTAGACGCCTATCTCAAGTACAAGCCGGTGCAGTTCGACGATTTGGGCGAATAAAAGCCCGGGCTATTATTTGAAGTTTTACGGTATTTAAGACCTGGAAAAGAAAAGAGACACTGACCTGTCAAAAGGCTCCCCAGTTTCTCGCTGACGATCGGTAATAGTTGATAAATTAAACTTTTCCCAAAGGGAGTAGGGCCACAACATCACCTCCATTCAAAATGTTTAATACACACTCTTCGTGTTCGGGCTTCAGTTTGCTAATGCCGGGAATATTCTCCACAACAGAGCGAATTGCATCCGCGTCTCCATATCAGCGGTCGTTTTCGATTTCCCTGACCTAATCTTAAACACGGCGCTTACCGACTACGTCACGGCTTTCAGCCCGCCCTCTGTTCGTTGATTGGCCAGGCTGTTTTCAGGCCGGTGGAAAACAGAAAGATAGGCTGCTATCTCAGACTGACTGCAGGAGCGAAATGAAATTAGCGGAAGTAGGAAGTCTGACGTAGTCAGGCTACTTTCGGCTAAGACCTTTTCGTAATAAGCCGAGAACCAATGATAGCACAATTGTAGCAGGGATTTAATTTTCGGTTCGTTGTAAGCACAAACAGTATTTTACGTTCTGTCTCCAGCGTTCATCGGGCTTTTTAACGGTAACCGATTAGAACGAAATAAAACTTTAACTTTAAAAGAGAGTGCAGTGCACTGATTAAAAATAAAATTCCGATGGCATGAAACGAGTCGAAACGAAACGAAACGATAAACTGAATTTATCATAAACAGGGGCATTCTTACTTGAAGAAGGATAACTAATGTTTGAAAAATAAAATAATTTACCTTAACGTCGTTTTCTTGAAGACTCTGCAACGGTCGCCAGTCTGACTCCGAACGGCTGCAGTGCATTCCCTTCACACGAGGACGCGGGAAATTAAGCAGGAAGTGGCGTAATTATAATGTTTACCGGCAAAAGTATTTGGTTTCTTGAAAAAAAAAAAAGTAGGAATGAGATAATTACGATATTAACCCCAAAAATATAACTCAAGAACAGATTTAAAACGTGATGTTCCTATTTTAAATTGCATTCAATAACCTTATTTGGAATGGAGAATTTCACTGATGTAGTAAGATGATTTAATATCTGAATATAATAAATGTTAATAGTAGGCCTAGGTGCATGTTAACAAGCTGTTTTAGTGGCATTTTATTAAAGCTTGCAAAACTTTATCATCAGCTTGAGTTTAGTATTTGCATTGCTGATTGCTCGACATTAATGCTTGTCCAAGTAGATTTTTTGAAGGGGCAAGTCAAGTGAAACATTTTTTTACTTGCCGGTGTGGTGCCGAATTCTGACCCCCCGCCAAATTATTACCCCCCTAGTATGGTAGGTTTAGGATTAGTTGTGGGGGAGGGGTTAGGATTAGGGGTGGGGTTAGGATTAGGCAATCAGGTACTGATTTAAACGAGGGGGGTAATAATTTGGCAGGTAGTCGAAATTCGGCACAACACCGGACCGGAAGTAGCCTCCCAGACAGCAACATATCGGCCCAGATCCGGGCCACATCTGGTAGCCTACATGTGAATTCAACGCGTACCAGATGTGGGCCGGATCTGGGCTGACACTATGTTGCTGTCTGGGGATTAAACAAAATGTAAATAACAAGAACATTATTAGGGAATCCCCATAACACAAGATTGATTCTGGTTTTATTTAATTTATTGTAGCATGATTGATAGGATTATATATATATATATATATATATATATTGTAGGCTAGATAGGCATACCCTCCATATAGCAAACTGACATTGAATCAACATAGAAACGACGTTTCTCGTGACATCAAAACAACGTTGGTCTCCGACGTTGATCCGTCATCGCTCATCGAAGTAGGCCTAATGTTGAATCAACGCCAGACACCCATTCCTAACGTTGAAACGATGTTGATTTTAAGTTGGTTGAAACTACGTAATAGAATCAACACATATTTAACATAAAATCGATCTAATTGGTTTGCTTACCTAATGTTGAAACGAATATTCACCTGAATATTCAGCTGATCATTAGGCCTTTGTTATATTTGCATTCATCTACAGTGCATGCATATTTATTATAATATTGTTCATTTATTAAAAGTCTATCTATAGCCTAATCATACTTTTTTCCCAAGCACATTTTATCAATTCCAAACCTAATCATTCTTAATAACTACCATTAATTTGTTAAATAATTATTTATAAGTTATATAGCCTAATTGTTAATGAGGACATCTTTATTCAGGTGTGCATAATTATTAAGCAGGTTTTCTTTGACAGATAAAATGGGCCAAAAAAGAAATGTATACTGAAAAGTCATAAATGCCCATGAGAAGGATGAAATCAGAAAATTAAACTGATCGACTATTGTAGAAGAAATGCTGATTGGGTCAACAGGGCCCAGCCCTTGTTAATTATTAAATATCAGTTGATTACCGGTATACAGTAGGCCTACAAGTCAAACGTTTAGAAACTTTACTATTATTAATGTTTTTGAAAGAAGTCTCAATTCTGCTCATCAAGGCTGTATTAATTTGATCAAAAATACAGACAAAAACAGTAATATTGTGAAAATAATTACAATTTAAAATAATGGTTTTCTATTTTAATGTACTTTAAAATATAATTTAATCCTGTGATCCAAATGTTGAATGTTCAGCATCATTACGCCAGTCTGTGATGTGATATAATATTATAGCCTACACAGAAATACATGAGTATACTTTAATGTACCAACGGCTCACGCAGCCTCTCGAGGAGAAATCGAAACAAATGAGCACAACACAGACAAAGAAACTAACATTAACATAAATAAATGTGTAGTTTTTATTTTAATATTATAATTAACATGATGACACAAAGCAACATCACACGACCAAGAGTGCAGATGTCCTGAATATCATCACGATTGAAAACGTGGCACTGATTTCATACAACAGTTCAATAAGCAGTTAAAATTAGTTAAATAATTAATCTGAATGATTCAGCGTTTGAACGAATCGTTTGAACGAATGACTCAATGACTAACTCAGTAAGACGGTCGCTTGGCGCCACCTAATGGTAGTTTATTTCATGTTTAATCACACACACACACACATAATACACGCACGCGCACGCGCGCAAATACACACACACACGTGTATTGATCTTCACTGACAGTCCAAGTAATGCATGTGTCTTCTCTTCTTTGAAACACAACGTTAATCTTAAATTAAACCTGCCTCCTCCTGGTATATAGCCTCAATTTAGTCCTGGAGTTGCTCGATATCCTCCAGTAAATTTACACGTGGCTTTTCTGGTCATTTAATGTAATATCCCACGTGATGGCGTAATTGCGTGTTGATGTAAAATAATCACTACAATTTTCATTGAACTGTTTAAAAGAGACGATTCGCGAAAATCAGAAGTCCTCACTATGTAATGTATTTGATTCGTGCTGCCTGGTGCTAAGCTCCGCCCTCGACTACCCGGACTGGTTGTGCTCTCCTCGGCGCTGTTTAGGGTGAGTGAGTGTACACTGCGGTCGGTGTGGGACGGGCGTACAGCACAGCGACTGGGCTCTGGATGGTGAATTCTACGGATGAAGAAATTATTCTGCCCACCACTCTGGGAATTTTAAACACGACAGCTGACAGTCACGTTATCATTTAAGCGGTGTGAGGAGGACTCTGGAGATAGATACAGGGTTTACGGTTCCCGCAGCTGACGCGCAAGTTGTTGTCAGTCTCGCAGGTTAGTGAGTGAGTGAGTGAGTTTGGGTTGGAGTTAGCTAGCTGATACGCTAGCCTTAAACGATTTTAAATTCATCGAAGCTTGTATATATTTTGTGTCATGGCTCTGCGAGCGAGAGCTCTGTATGACTTCAATTCAGAAAACCCAGGGGAGATATCAGTGAAGGAGCACGAGATTGTAACTCTGTACAGCGAGCAGGACATTGAGGGCTGGCTGGAGGGGGCGAACAGTAGAGGGGATAGGGGGCTTCTCCCTGCCTCCTACGTCGAGGTATTGAGGAATGACACCGTCTCGTCTTTTAACAACAACTCTCGGTATGCCAACATTCCCACTGGTGGTTTTGACTTCAAAAACCAGACTCAAGAGAGCTACAACAGTGCACCAGCAGCACCCAGCTTCACAGCCTACCCTGCTCTACCTCAACAACAACAACAACATCCAGGGACCCCAGCCAGTGATGATGATTGGGATGATGACTGGGACGATCACTCGTCCGTAGCTGATGAACCAGGGATTGTTGGTGGAGGATACAGGAATTATGAAGGTAACGGACCCTCTAGCTACAGCATCTCCACATCCTCCATGCCTAGAGGTGCACAGCAAGGCAAAAGTTCAGCCACGGTCAGCAGAAATCTGAACAGGTTCTCCACCTTTGTGAAGTCAGGCGGTGAGGCATTCGTCCTGGGGGAAGCATCCGGCTTTGTGAAGGATGGGGATAAAATTTGTGTGGTAATGGGTCAGTACGGTCCAGAGTGGCAGGAAAACCCTTACCCATTTACTTGCACTATTGATGATCCCACCAAGCAAACGAAATTCAAAGGCATGAAAAGTTACATTTCCTACAAGCTGACGGCAACCCATACGCAGAGTCAGGTCAACAGAAGATATAAGCATTTTGATTGGCTCTATGCACGGTTGGTGGAGAAATTTCCTGTCATCTCAGTGCCACACATCCCTGAAAAACAAGCCACCGGTCGCTTTGAAGAAGACTTCATTTCTAAAAGGAGAAGAGGGCTGTTATGGTGGATGAATCATATGACCAGCCACCCTGTACTGGCCCGGTGTGATGTTTTCCAGCACTTTCTCACCTGCTCCAGCACGGACGAAAAGTCTTGGAAGCAAGGGAAGAGAAAAGCAGAGAAGGATGAGATGGTCGGTGCTAATTTCTTCCTCACCATCAGCACTCCAGCAGCCCCTCTTGACCTGCAAGACGTCGAAAACAGGATTGATGGATTCAAGGCCTTCTCCAAGAAAATGGATGACAGCGTGATCCAAGTCAATGCCACGCTTAACGAGTTTGCAAGGAAGCAGATAGCCGGGTTCAAGAAAGAGTATCAGAAAGTGGGACAGTCTTTTAAGTATCTAAGTCAAGCATTTGAGATGGACCAGCAGTCATACTCGGTCGGTTTGAACCAAGCAATTGCGTACACGGGAGAAGCCTACGAAGCTATTGGAGACTACTTTGTGGAGCAGCCTAAACAAGACGTGGACCCTGTGATGGATTTGTTAGCCCTGTACCAAGGACACCTTACCAACTACCCTGATATCATCCATGTTCAGAAAGGTAATCATTTACTCACTTATTTGTATCATCATTGAAATATGCATGAAACTGTGTTCAGCTAGATCAGTGGGCATTAAAGATAACAGGGTAATTTGCTCTCAGAAGTTTGCTTTGCTTGACTGATCTGTTTGCATTGAAGTGCCACAGATTCACTGGCTGTTCTGGTTTCATCAGACTGCTGAGTCACATGGGGTGGTGAGCTGTTGCTGACGTGCTGTGTGTGTTTTTCCTGTGGTCTGTAAATCAGCCACATACAATGACAAAGACTGAAACTTTTGACGTACTGAATTGTTTGGAAGGTTGACAGGAGAGTTTCAGTACACATGCAATTATTCAGTCAATTGCTGTGCATTGATTTGAGCATGGATGTTATTGTTACAGACAGTGGTACATTCTAGCTTAGTGACACATTTCTGACACTTAAAGGGATACTCCACCCAAAAATGAAAATTCTGTCATCATTTACTTACCCTCAAGTTGTTGCAAACCTGTATGAATTTCTTTCTTCTGCTGAACACAAAGGAAGATATTTTGAAGAACAATTGGAACCAAACAGTTGTTTGGCACCATTGACTTCTATAGTAGAAAAAAAATTACTATGGAAGTCAATGGTGCCCCACAACTGTTTGGTTCCAATCGTTCTTCAAAATATCTTCCTTTGTGAAACTCATGCAGGTTTGCAACAACTTGAGGGTGAGTAAATGATGACAGAATTTTCATTTTTGGGTGGAGTATCACTTTAACAGTTGATAATGTCCTTGATTGTGTATTATAAAGAAAAGTAATTTTATTTCAGATCAAAAGATGCATATATACTTCATTTTTCATCTGGAATCATGATGCTCCAGAATGCAAATAAGACCCTCAGAGGATGTGGGAAGTGCAGCAATCACACCTTCTGCTGTTTGATTAACTGCTTGAATATTTATGACGCTCATTATCATTTGCAGAAACATGTGAGACTTTAGGCTCTCAAATTCTAGGTTGAGATGATTTTTGAGATAGACACCCTTTTTTTTAATGGAGCCACTAGCCTTATAATGTAGGTCTCGCATAGCTTGCAATGATCACTTAACATGAATTTTTCAATCAAGACTTTTTAGTTTAAGACCGGATTGCTTGTAATATTTCTTTTTTGTACTGTGTTCTCTAAATTTCATTGCAGTTACATCATGTACTTATGCAAAGTGTAGCAGTCATCATGATTTAAACGAAACGGTCGAACCCAGAGGCAAGACTTCATTTTGAAATGACTAAAAATGATCATATATACAACACAGTTCAAAAGTTTAGGACCAGTAAGAAATTAATACATTTATTCAGCAAGTAAGTGTGCATTAAATTGATCAAAAGTGACAATAAAGACATTTATAATGTAATGAAAAATTTCTTCTTTTTAAAAAGAAATTATATTCATCAAAGAAGCCTGAAAAAAAAATGTACCAATTTTCACAAAAATATTAAACAGCACAGCTGATTTCAACACTGATAAGAAATGTTACTTAAGCAACAAATTAGCATATTAGAATGATTTCTGAAGGATCACGTGACACTGAAGACTGGAGTAATGTCTGGGGCATTTATACACATTGTCTTGTATGTTTTCAGAGAATGACTTGACGGATAGGCAACACTGAATGTTACAAGCTGTTTTAACAGTCCACATTTATGTGGCTTCTAGTAACCACAACATGAACAAATAGACTTTGTTAAAGCCCATAGAGATTGTCTATGAGCTTAGCTTGCAGGGTAGCAGTGTACATTTATGTCTGCCATTTCCTTATTGGAAAGTAGCTAATGTTTTGATCTTGTTGTTCACAACAAAATTTAAAAAGTAGCCTAAATTTAGGTAGATTTTTATAACTGTTGAATGTGTAAACCAGATGTTTAATGAGGTACAGACTGGTGCTGCAGACACACCACTGTCACTGTATTGTGCTTTGGAAAAATTGAAATGCTGTTTCGTACTTCCAGGCAGCAGATGGGCCTCAGTCTGTGACCGATCCAGCCGACTGTCTAGGACTGAGGTCACCTGCATCTGGCTGAAGCCCACATGCCATTCCTGAGCACTTGCCAAAGGTGTTTGTATATTTAGCAAATTCTTATTGTCACTGTCACCATATCATTTTACCATGGAAGAAACAGCCTTATTATAGGTGTATGAGTGCTGTGAGAAATGTCATCTTTTCTGCATTCTGTCTGTGGTTTTGCCCACAATGTCACAGTTAACATATGCAACTGTGTGAGCAATGAGCATAAGATGGAACATCGACAGGTTCTGAAGAAACGATCATCCAGACTTTGAATGAGTCAGTAGAAAACTATGAGCAAAGCTGTCCACTTTCCATCACCACTGTGACAGAGTAAATACTGACATGTTCTCCGATTACAATGTCTGATGGCAAACAAAAAGAGACATTCAAATCCCCTGAGGAGTAGGGGGTCATATTCTAACCACTTCCTGTCTCGTGATCTCCTCATAGACATTTAGACATCTATCTTTCATAAGAAATAATGATAATTTTGGCTTTGAATTTGAATAGCTGCATTTTGACAGTTTAGTTGTTAAAGTTTCATCATATTGTCATTTGCCATCTACTCAGATTTTGTCCCCCTTTTAATAATTCTCATGGTGATATGAAAATCAATACCATAAAAACAACTGCACCTCAGAAATTATGCCTAAAATAGTCTACAACCAACTAAACCACAACATCTCAGTAAACAACAGATGAAAGCTTATGATTTGCGTTCATCTGTAATTCAACATAATGCATTTGCTGTTTTCTTTTTTTCTTCTTCTTCTTTTTTTTGTAAGATGATCAAATTTCAAGGCCATCATAATATCCACAGGGATAAATGAAAGGTCTGCTGTGTTTTTGATCAAATACACATGAGCACAGCATGTATTGATTTGTAGCCCCCATTAGCAATGGAAGTGAAGAGCCATTAGTAAGTGAACATACTGACGTTGGTATTTAAATGGGACCCTTTTTTCCATCGCTTTTCTGTGATTTGCATTGAAACATATTAAAGTAGGCTATATGTGGTTCTTAAGACAATGAGAGGAAATAATGACTCAAATGTGATGTGGTTAGCTGCGGAAGTTAGCACTGTGCTTAAACCCTTAACCAACCACCGAACGGCTATCTGAAGTCTTTCATCTGTTTGACACATTTCCAGTATTGTAGACATGTCTAATGTTATCTCTAGTCATTTGAGGGGAAGTCTGAAAAGACCTCTTTTAATGTAGTTCAACTTATGTTTTCTCTCTCCCGTGAAACAAGATTTGAGATGTCCTAGTGTGCTATATTCCAAGTCTTCTGAAGCCAAAAGATAGATTAGTTAAGGGTTGTGCGCATTCAATCTGAACAAGTGTGTTTTGAATGTATCTTCCAAAAGTATTTTATCTTACTTAAACTCCATGATTATTTTAGGTTGAAGTTGTTTAACCTGCCTGCGCCGGCGGGCCCATTTGCCATTGCATGTTTAAAACAATAATATCTTAGTAAAAACCTAAAGTAATATTGCCAAACTATATATCATTTGAAAGCTTAAAATCTCTAGTTTTCATATTTGGTGGCTGTTATCTAAAATATATTACAGAGGAGCAGAAATTTATCAATTTGCAACAAGAATATTTCATATTCATTAGGAGTATTTAGGCCTTTATTTTGAAATAACAATAAACATGAAAAATCATGAAAGATTGGTAGAAACCTCAGTTTGTTTTCATGCCATGAGTTCAAAAGATAACACCAATTCCATTTTATGAGAAAAAAAGTTCTGAAAATGTTTTAAATATAAAGAAAAATGTATGGATTCTCAATTTGTAATGCGGCTGTGAGCTATTACGCTATAACGTAGTCTTTATGCATTTATTAGAGGTTTAATTCAAATCAAATACTGCCAAACCACCCATACTACTTCTGAATAGGATGTCTACTTCATAAATTGTATGAAAATTATGGAAATACATGGTTCAGATCACTCAAAACATATGAAAATGGAGGCGCCCTTATATGGGCAGTAATGGAGTCTGGTGTTCACCTAGTGAAAAAGTTGGGTACTGCGCCCGAATAAAATCTTACTGAAAGCTAATTTTTTGAGATATCAACCTAAAATTTGGAATACAACTTGTTCAGATATTTGACTTTAATTTTCTTGCAGTTTTAGAGTAAAATATATTTTGTAATATATATATTTTATATAAAATATTAATCATTATATTTTTACATTACACAATTTCATAAACTCAAACTTATATAACTTTTTTTCTGTTTCATTTTTTACAATTTCTAGACTTCTACAATAATCTGGAAAATGTTTTCTTTAAAACAAGACCAGCCATAGGTCTATATTCCAAAGCATTCCTGAATTACAACCATTTAAGTTTGGATAGTGATTTTTATGTCTATGCAAAAAAAAGGGGGGTGCCAGTTAACAGGTTAAGTGTTTGTCTGATACACTTTGTGACCTGTGTACAAGTATAAATTGGGCAGTCCGATCGAGTCACACTTTCCTCAGATAATTTTCTTAAAACTGAAAATGATGTCATTATACCCACCCTTTTTTTCTGTAGAACACAAAAGGAGTTGGCTAATTGTCTATCTCTTTTTCATACTACAAAAATTCATGGTGAGCACCATTCAAAAGTATCTCTTATCTTAGTCTCTTTTATATGCTCACCAAGGCTGCATTTATTTGATCAGGAACCTAGTAAAACAGTAATATTATTACAATTTACAATTACTATTTTCTGCTTTAATATATTTTAAAATGTAATTTATTCCTGTGATGGCAAAGCTGTCACATGATCCTTCAGAAATCATACTAATATGCTGTTTTGATGCTCAATAATCTTTTCGTACTATTCTCATTGTTGAGTTGTGCTGCTTTTTATTTTTGTTGAAATCAGGATAGTAAATTTTATATTTTGATGAATAGAAAGTTCCAAAGAACAGTATTTATTTTAAATTGTAACAATTTAAAAGTATTTT